CTGCCGGCGTCCTCAGAGGCTTTGCTCCCCGTCTCCCTGGTCTGCTGGTCTCCAGCAGACCAGGGAAACGGGGAGCAAACCCTGTTCGTAACTGCGGATCTGACATAAGTCGGATCCGCGTAACTCGGGGACTGCCTGTATGTACAAAATGGGAGAGGGGAATAAATTAGCAATTACGACTTGAGAGAGATCTTGGAGTCACTGCTGATAATTCTCTGAAAACATCCATTTAGTGAGCATCAGCAGTCAAACAAGCAAACAATGTTAGGAATCATTAAAAAAGAGAAAATAAGACAAAGAATATATTTTTGCCTCTATATAAAGCCACGGAACACCCACATCTTGAATACTGCATGCAGGTGTGGTTGCCTCATCTCAAAAAAGATATTTTGGCTTTGGAAAAAGCTCAGAAAAGGGTAACAAAATTACTGCTGCCATATGAGGAGAGCGTAATAAAACTGGGACTTAACAAAAGAGAAGACTAAGGAGAGATCTGATAGAGGTCTGTAAAATCATGACTGCTGTGGAGAAAGTAGATAAAGAAAAGTTATGTACATACTCCCATAACACAAGAACTAGGAGTCACCAAATGAAATGAATAGGTAGCAGATTTAAAACAAACAAAAGGAAGTTTTTCATCACACACTGCACAGCCAACCTGTTGAATTCCTTGCAAGAAGATGTCGTGAAGGCCAGGACTTTAACAAGGTTCAGAAAAGAGCTAGATAAATTCGGGAGGGTAGGTCCATCAAAGGATATGTACCAGGATGGATAGGAATGGTGTTCCTAGCCTCTGTCAGAAGCTAGTAATGGGTGACTGGGAAGGGATCATTTGATGATTATCTGCTCTATTCATTCCTTCTGGGGCACCTAGCATTGGTTACTATCAGAAGACAGGATTCTGGGCTAGATGGTCCTTTGGTCTGACCTCTTCTGGACATTCTTACGAAGTTGTGCAAATGCTGCTGATCATCTCGGGCTGCAAGAATGACTGTGTTCCACTGATCTGTAGTTCTAGTCCAGACCCAGATTAAACATATTCACAAATACAACATGCAGAATGGAACTCAGCAGGAGTCTGACTGTTGTCTGATAAGCAACTTATCGAGCTTATCTTGGTCTGGTTTTTTACAGGTTCTATTGCAAATCTCAGATGTTTCCAAAGTGCTTTTGAAAAGCTCCGAGAGAACTTTCTTACTGAGCAAGGAGTACAAGCATATCACTTCCTTTCTGCATCCCAGCCCCTTACACTGGTTCAGTGAAAGAGAGTGAAGGTGGAGGAGTGCAAGCAATAGAAGGAGGGATATGGAGTGAGCATGGGGCAGGGCCTTGGAGAAGAGGTTGGGGTAGGGATTTAGGGTAGGGAGTGGGGTAGAGTGATCAGTTTTATGCAATTAGAAAGTTGGCAATTCTACTAGACTAGAGCAGGGGTCTCCAAACTACGGCCCGCGGGCCGGATGCAGCCCACGAGGCCCTCTCATCCGGCCCGTGGAGACCTTTTTGTCTGGCCCCGCCTTCCGCGTGCCGGCAAGATTATCCCTGAGGCGCTTGAGTCCGAGCATTGGTGTCAGCGGGAGAAACGGATTCGCAGGCGGCTGCGCGAGGCCCCAGCGCGCGCACGGGACAGCAGGTAGCCCAGGTCAGGGACGGCTCCGCGTGCCGCTTGGCCGGGCGGGCGAAAAAGGGGGGTCTCGAAGGCGGGCTCCGGATCAGACCCGGCGGCAGAGGATCGCGGGAGGCTGGACGGAGGGGAGGAAACCCGACGGTGGTTTCTCAGGGGCTAGGAGCGAGGGGCTACTTCTCCGGGGGCGGGGCTGAGGAGCTGGTGCCCATTGCAGGAGGCGGTCTGGTTGCTGTGGCACAGTGATAACGTGTCTGCTTTCAAACCAGCTTTTCCCATTAAAATGCATGCCCCTTGTTCCATGAGGCTATGTTACAAATTGTCACCTCATTCCCTGCATGATAGGAGAGCGATCACATCTCTTCAAGTGTGAGTGTCTTAGGCTGAACATATTGAACCACCCCCAATTTCAAACAGTGATTTCTAAAGCCAGAAATGTCTGCTATTTTGGCATCCAGGAAACAATTTCACCATTCACACTAATACAGGTGTTCATGTGTAGTGTATCAATGTGTTATTAAATAATAACTGAATAAAATAATATTAAATAAATAATTAAAAACAACATCCATGTTTTGATTGTTTTTTATTTGGACCTCAAGTGTGTAGTCGGCCCCCGAACTGCTGTTTGATAGTTAATGCGGCCCTCGGGCAGAAAAGTTTGGAGACCCCTGGTCTAGACCAATGTTTCCTCAATTTTTTTTTCTAGCTGCAGAGTACATTCTGTGTTCTAGCTATATCCAGCTGGTACAGCTGTGTTTGTGGTCATGTTGAGTAGGAAATTAGCATATCTATACACAGCTGAGAATCTATGCCTAAAAGTGTATTTTGTTGAGAAACAGCTTGTTAGACACAACAATAAGTTGTTAGTTAAAGTTGACTTTGTCTCTGAATGGAAAATGTATGAGAATAAGTGGCTTAGAGAGAAGAGAATTCCTGTAAACATCTGTCAGACATACTGACTGCTTGGGCAATGACTTTAATGAAAACACAATGAATAAATATTTTAAGATACAGACATGTATCTAAGGTTTTGTGTGTGACGGAAATTATGACATAGTGTATTACTTGAAAATGTAAATGTGATCATATAATTAAAGGCTATTGTAATACATACATTGTGAATGTTCATTATAACTTTCTTCTTTCCTGACGTCTTTTGAGTATGTATATGCAACCTGAATATTATTTTTTATAGTTTTTTTTTAATTACGTGAAATTTATTTTTTTTTAACTCACTTAAGTTGCTGCTGAGGCCAGGAGTACAATTATACAATTATGTGTGTGTATGTGTGAATAAATAAATACCAAGCTATGTTTTCCCTGGGCTGCCAGCTATATTTACAACTAAATATTAATCTCCTTATAACAATTCTGGGTATATTTGGTTTCCATGAATGCTCTTGTGAAGCAGTTAAAAATAAGCTCTATTATTTCATAACATACAATGTTCACCTAAGCAGAATCTAGTGTTAAAAACATGATTGTGAAAATTTAAAATAAAAAAGTGGTAAGTAGCTAAACTTAACAAGCCATGCAGAAGGCTTTTAGAGAATGTAATAGGAGCTCAGGGACACAAACAGGTTGAACATCTTTGCTGCTATGATAAAATATATAAACCTGACTCATTCTAAAATGGTAACTAAAGTATTTGACTCTGCAGTACAAATTATCTTTTGTTATTATTGATCTCTATTGTGTACAAAATTCTTTTCCAGAAACGCTAAGGACAAATGGAAGCTTTCTCAAATCACAAAAGCATTCTCAGCCTATCGTGGAGGTGGATGAGGAAGCTCACACAGGAAAAATGCAGCTCCAAAAAAGTGATGGTGTTTCTATATCCTTGAGTAGAGACAGCTTGGAACCTGATGGTAAGAAATAACAGAGAAGAATCATTTAATCTGATTTATTAGCAAATTATTGGCCAGTTATTATGAATGAAAAGATATTTTTCTAAAAATAAGCATAATGTTGAAAATTGCTGAAACTGTTACATTAAAACAGTGTTCTCGACCCTGATCCTGAAACTAATCCTGCATAGGGGTTCATCTGCATGGAATCAGTTGCAGGATCCTGTACACTATTTAATATTTCTTTAATGCCATTAGCATGATATGTGGTGGCTGTCTTTTATTATAATTAAACTTTTGTGGCTAGTCCATGTACTAAGATTATAATATTGTAATTAGATTTTGATATATTTTTTAATTTAGATTCAGTTGTGACTTCTGGTCCTAATCAAAGTATTTTGGGAGCTGGATTGGATACTTTGGAGGAACAAGAAGAAAAAGATAGATTCTTTGCTAAACTTGAGAGAAGAGCTTCCTCTACCATTGATTATTCAAGATTAAACAAAGAGCTGGATTCAAATGATTCTATATTGCCAGCAGCATTTGTGTGGTAATTTGTGGGGAGACCATAAGCTAAAATTACTACTTTTTTTTTATATATGTATACACACACACACACAAATTACTACATATATTGTGTGTGTGTGTGTGTGTGTGTGATGGTGCTCAGAAGCCCAAATCACAATCAGAGCCTCATTATACTAATTACTATGTGAATATAGAAAGTAATGTGTGGTCACTACTTAGAAATGTTTATAATTGAAGACTATGTCTGTCCTTCCAGCAGGGGGTGTGATTTCCAGTTCTAGGAGACACATGCTATTTGCAATCAAGTTAGCATGCTAAAAGTGTGGTCATGGTATCATGACTGGTGGATGGGGCCATACTCACCTACTTCCCCTCTAGCTAGGGACGCCTCCGAGACCCCGCCCCCACACTACCTTGCCTCTTCACACCTCTGTTGCACCCCTGCCCCACCTCTATTCCAGCCCTACCTCCAAACTCCTGCCCCACTTCTGAATGCTGCCAAACAGTTATTTGTGGCAGGCAGGAGGCATTGGGAAGGAGGGGGAGGAACCGAGCAGCAGGACCGCCATCAGGCAAGATGTGCTGGGGGGACGAGGGAAGCTTAGCTGCCAGTGGGTGCTGAGCAACTGCTAATTTTTCCTTGTGGTTGCTCTAGCTCTGGAGCATCCATAGAGTCAGCGCCATGAGTGGGGCTAGTTATCCAAGTACATGCTTTGGTGTCAGATGTGTATTTAATTGGTATGTTGCCCGCCTGCCAATCATGCTGCTGTGATCATGCTCTATGTTTAGTTTCTGAGTCTGACAAGAGCTGGAATGGATATATTCCCTCAAGCTGAGAATCGCACATGTACCCCAAAAGCCTAGGGCAGCACATAAATGAGATAAACATAAGGGCCACTTATTCCGGAAAAATACTGGGCCACTTATTCTGGAAAATCAGCCGCTTTTCCAGAATAAGCTGCGAGCTGTCTACACTGGCCCTTGAATTTCCGGAAAAGCAACGATGCTCTACTGTACAAAATCAGCCGCTATTCCGGAAAAACTATTCTGCTCCCGCTCGGGCATAAGTCCTTATTCCGGAACACTGTTCCGGAAAAGGGCCAGTGTAGACAGCCCAGTAGTCTTTTCCGGAAAAAAGCCCCGATCGCGAAAATGGCGATCGGGGCTCATTTCCGGAAAAGCGCGTCTACATTGGCCACAGACGCTTTTCCGGGAAAAGGGCTTTTCCGGAAAAGCAGCCTGCCAATGTAGACGCTCCTTTTTCGGAAAAACTGAAAATGGAATAGTATTCAGTTTTAAGCATTTCCGGAAATTCATGCCAGTGTAGACACAGCCAAGGAGAGTATGAGGGGAGGGAGGATGAAAGTCATAATAATAGGCCACATTGTTACATAGACTTGTGCACAGCTTGATAGCTAGAAGTTATTTTTTTCTTAACTATAAGATGTAAATAAAGATATTGGCAATCCATACTAACCTTCCATTTAGCCATTTTATTTTAACATTTTCCTATAGAAATCACATTAGAAGTGAGGCTTTGGGTGGGATTTGCAGTCGTAAGGAAGATCAAGGAAGTCATTCGATGTGCAACAGGTAGAGTGAAAGCTGTGGGAGAAGTAGACAAATGGGCAGTTAAGGCTGGCATAGTTGGGTTTACCTTTGAGACTGGAAAACAAATTTATTAAGATATAAGGGCAGATAAGGAGGGAGAGGAAGAGTTCTGAAAAGACAAGAACCTGAACTTTAGTGTATAAAAGGAAGAGCCAAGATAGGGATTCAGAGTGTATAGTGGGGCTGTCAGAACAAGAAGCAAAAATAATGATGTTATGCTTGATAGCATGCTTGTTTGAGGTGACTGTGTGGGTGTGAAGGAGGCCAAAGAGGAGGTGATTTTAGTAATCAATTAAGAAGGAAAAGGCTTGGGGTGGGGTGAGGTGTCTTCTTAAAAGCTTTCCATCTACTGTTAATAGACAGAAAGCTTCTAAAAAGAACAGATTAAATAAAAACCACTGAAATGGTGTTCATAAGTGTCAAGGGAGACAATAACATTTTTTCATATTTTTTACAGCAATGAACAAAATATAGAACAAGCAGAAAATGAAGATGAATCTAAACATGGAGAGAAATGTGGTAAAACTCTTAACTTTGCATATAATTAGGACTCTCTCAAATTTACAGCCATGAAAAACATGTTACGGACTGTGAAATCTGGTGTTTTGTTTGCCATTGCCCTTTACCAATGATTGTCAAACTGATCTGCGGGCCTGCTTTGTGAAAGCAGTTAGTGGACCTGTGCCTGTGCCAATTTGTTTACCTAAGGGCTCTGTCACAACGGAACCTCACTGTTCCCATTGGTTCTGGTTTGCCATTTCCAGCCAATGGGAGCCGTGGGAACTTGGTTATGTCACCGGAAGTGGCCTGCCATTGGCTCTGGTTCGCCTTTGCCAGCCAAGTGTAGTGTTTGATTTCAGCATTAATCTAACTTTGCTACAAAAGCTCTGTGCCTCTCATTATTGTGGTTTTATTTTGTCAGTGTAGCAGAGAGTTAAATCAATGGGAGGAGCATTGTAGTGTGTACTCTTACACTGTTTTGTCTCTGAAAGCTGACTTTTGTCGACAAAGCTATGGAGTATAGAAAAGGCCTACTCCTTATATGGAGCCAAGTAACCATGAGGATAGTTTTATAATAATGGTACCATCAGTCTCCAAAAAGAAATCAGTGGAATGCAAGCAAATAGAATTATGTAACATCAAAGTTCAGAGAAATCAACTTCTTAAAATTCAGTATCCATAAACTACAGTTGAATACTCAATTTCATCTTTGCTGCTTTGTGTATATGCCTTTAAATATGGCTTCTCTATTATTTGTCATACATGGTATTAAACAAACTGGAGTTTTCTATACAACCTTAGATATTCTGTAGAAAAAAGCCACTGAGCCCATGCAGGGTTGAGTCTATAAAATACAAATAAAAAATTAAAGATTTCTAGCTAATACTTTTTAAACAACAAACAGTCTTGTGATACCTTGGAGACTAATAAATATATAATATCATGAGCTTTCATGGGTAAAACCTGCTGCACAGTGATTGCCACACTTTCCACCAAGAGGGCAGCTCTCATTTTGGTGTTCTTGCAAAGAAAGGCAGTAGAGAGCACCACACACAGTTCCAGGAAGGTGGGCTCTGTACTAACCAGATTTCACAGGGGAGACCATTGTTTCTTAAATTGGGGGTCCTTAGCTAAAAGGAAGCTGTAGGGGGTGTCAGATGTTTTATTTTAAGGGGGTTGCAGTATTGGCACCCTTACTTCTGCATTACCTTCAGAGCTGGGTGGCCAGAGAGCGGTGGCTGTTGACCAGGTGCCCAGCTGTGAAGGCAGCACAGAAATAAACATACAGAAATAAACAATACCATAGCATGTCCTTATTTCGCTGCTGCTGCTGGCAATGGCTCTGCCTTCAAAGCTACAGTTACACCACCATGAAATTTCAGATTTAAATAGTTGAAATAATGAAATTTATTATTTAAAAAAAACCTCGTGTGGTCATGAAATTAACTAAAATGGACCATGAATTTGTTAGGGTCCTACACGTAGTGCATGTAAAATGTTCTTGTTTAGCTAGTGAAGTCTGCATTTTTGTGTTTGTTGTTGGGGATTTGGGGGAGGGGGCATTATTTTATAACCAATAGTGTAACCTAAGAGTAGAGAGAATTTTACAAAACTGCTGAATAATTGCTATATAATTATTGCAGTGCTTATGTCTCTGTGTGTGTATGTATATAGAATATAATTATAGTCTTAAAATTTCTTATAGTGAAACTTTTATATAGTAACAGTTGTATTACACAATCAAAACCTAAAGTATACATTTTCAGTCTTCAGATGTCAAACAAAAATATCACTGGGAAAACTGAACAGTCCTGTTTGGTGCAATTACATTATGTACTCATTTGAATTTGGAGGGACTACTCATGATTTATTCTACTTGCTAATTTTTGTTACAAATAAGCTCTATGAGCAACACAGTGTTTATTGTTAGCAAAGTGTTTTCCTCACATTGCCTGCATTCTTAAAATTCATCTTTGTTCCCTGCTTAATTATTCTTCAGGCAATTATAGTGAAGATTTTGAAGATAAGACGGAATCAATTTATCCTTCTAAAAATGAAGATAATCACGTTGAGCAAACTGTCAGATCAGAAGCTGATCTACGAATGCAAGAACAGGTATAATAGTTAAATATTTAAAATGTTGAATTTTGTGGTGTCAGACATTTGTTGCTATGCATATCTACTTTAAAGATTTTCACAATTCTGATGAAGATTAAACTGCTGGTTATTAAATGCTTCTTAAAAATCTATCATTTTAAACTAATTGGCCTGTTTTTAAATGTTTTGAATTTATAGAGCTCTACAAGTACACAAATGTGCATGTAAAAACACAAATAACTATAGTTTGTATAAATATATGTGCATTACATACAGTGAAGAATAGAGATTTTCTGTATGGTATTTTCCCTTGAAGAATGTACTCTTCATGGTGGTTTGATCTTGATGGTCAAAATCAGCCCTTGACCTATTTACTTGCTTATTTTGCATTTTGAATCAATGATCACAAATGGTAAGTGCAGTATTTAAAAGCACTGCATGGAGCTTCAGAATGAAAAGGAGCTTTTCTCTCTCTTTATTTTTTTTTTTTTTTCCCTGAAGAGGCCTTTTGGGGGTGGAGAAGCTACTGAGCTCTTCAGGGAAGCTTCTGGTCCATGGAACTTTAGAATGAAAAAGGTAGTCAAATATTTTCTTTCCACCCCTTTTCCCTTACAGTGCATGTACTTGTGCAAGGTATATTTTGTGTGGTATCCCATGTACTGTACCACATTTACTGAAAATGAGATAGTTCTGTTGCCTTAAGACTGAATAACAAAACACCTACACATAAAGTGATTATTTTTCTGAGCAAAGTTGTCTTAAAAATACAATGCAACATAACAGAAGTGAACTTTATTTAGTGGGGCCTTTCATATATGTGATTACAGCTTTTCTACATTACATTCTATTTTCCGGAACACCTCACATTCATCTCCCATTGAGGGCTCTTACATTTTTTTAGCTTGTTTTAAAACAAGGATCCGTTGAAATAATAGTCCTAATAAAGTCAAAACCACAAACCACACCTTCCTCCATATTCATACCATTTTAAGACTCCAAACTGGAAGGAAAAACAGTTGAGAAATGCAAAATTAATGTTGTAATAAGGACACTTACATGGTATTTTCTGATGTTCTTATGTTGCAAAATGTTGTTATTGCACATTACTACAGTAGTTCTCAGCATCTAGTTTCACCTCCCCTCCTGAGGGGGAAACAGAGTGAAATAATGGTGAAGATGTATGGTTCCAGTTCATCTATTTCTATCATAAATCCATAGTGTTCCAAGAAGTAGCACAACTAAACTCTTAATATAAAGATTGCATTGCACATGGAGTAAAGCAAACTTATCTCTTTTTATATGTAAACTTGTTTTTTTCAAATTCACAAAGTAACTGTCCTTTATTTTTTTTCCAATTGTTTTAGGATGAAAAGACTGGCATGCTTTCTAAAGGTAAAAATTTAAACTTGCAGTATCATGAAAATATTTGTAAAACATATGGCAAGTAAATGTTTTATTTCTGTATGGGAATTTACTGCTTCCTAATCACGGACTGAAGTAGTTAAGAATGATCCATATATCTTAATTTTTAAATAGGCCTCAACACAGAATCCAATATTGCACCAACAATTCAGTACCTACATTTTCACACCTGCAAATTTAGGGCCAGATCCTGCAGTGAGCTCTGTGCAAGTAGTACAGTTGTATATGGAGCTTGTAGAACTGGGGCCTCAATTGCCATGTTTCAGAAGGATGCGCATAGTGTTGAAATGTAGAGATTCCATATAGTAAATATTTTTCAGCTTTGCTGTGACGTAACTTCTTTAGCCCCAACATTGGAATTCCCGTTATCATTTTGTTAACTTTTGCGGCTATAAATTAATATAGCTGAGCCTATAGGATCCTCCAAAACACAATGATGAATTCATTCCTTTATGTTCTCTCTCCTTCCACCCACCAGTCTGAATCTTGGTGCACAGCCCTTTTTCACCACTGACACACTCCCTAATACTAAATATTCTTTCATGAGCCTTGACATATTTGTAGTATTAAGTGTTCCCTCCTAACCTTATGCTGAGCATTAATATACACCCAGGTCTTTCTCTGCCTCTGCTCACTAAGAGCCTTTGCATCAGTATGTGCAAACTGTGGCCAGAGTATCATTTGTGGCTCCTTGTACACTTGAGGAGGTTTTTGTTAATAAGAAAAATTGTATTTGATTACAATTTGAGCGTGTGTTCCTGTAGTTTTTTCCAAGAGGAGAGGAGAGAAGTGGGAGTAGAGAGCAAAGCAGTCTCTAAGCTTTTGCTTCTTTAAAGAGGGATAATGGGAGAGCAGAGGCCTGGAGCCAGGTGGTTTTCACAAGCAGGGATGTCAGGTTAACTCTTTAAGCATCACCCTTACTGGGCGATGCTTATTGGTTCACCAGTGACCCAGCTGAGCTGGAACAGCCCCCTCCCCACCCATTGTGGGCCTGGTTGAGCTGGAGCATCCCTTCACTGCTCCTGCCTGGCCAGAGCAGCCCTCACCTGCAGCTGTTTTAAGTGGCTAACCAGTTAAACGTAACATTTAACAGGTTAACTGATTAAACTGGATTTTACATCCCTGTTCATAAGCAGGAAAGGGGATCAAGGAAATGTCATGACACGCCAGAGCAGCCAACCCCCCAATGAGCTTCAGGATGTCCCCATCTCGAACCTGCCCACCCACAGCTCCAACCTCCTGGTGGCAGCAACCCGCCCACCCACGGCTTCAACTCCCCTTCCCTGGCAACAACCTGTCCACCTGCAGTTTCAACTCCCCCTCCCCCCGACATACACACGCTACAACCCACTTGCCTGCCTGCAGCTTCAACACTCTTTGGCAGCAATTCGCCTGCATGCCACGTGTTCTCGGCCCAAAATGCCAACGGCGGCCGCCCCCACAATGCAACCTCAGCCCCAGCAGCTGCTGGCCCCCAACAAGGCCCTGGCTGCCAGAGAAGCCGCCCAAACAGCCATCTCTTAATGCGGCCGTGGGCCATCTCCGTCCCCATTCATGGCAGTGGGAGGAGCCACGACACTTACCTTCCAGGAGCAGGAGGAAAGTGAGTGCTGCTGCAGAGGTGGGCAGGCTTAAATTAGAATTTTTTGTGTGTCGCTGTGCAGGCACGCACTTTAAGAGAACATTGGCACAGGCTCCCAGCTGCATGGAGGAAGAGGGGTGGGGCTGAGCTCCTGCCTCGCTTGCCAATAAAAAACAGCTTGCGTGCCACTTGTATTCTTTGGTTCACTCTTTTAGTTACAGCTAAGGCTCCAGGAAAGCCTAGACCACTAATAAAATACCTGCTGGTAGACTAACAAAATGTTAATTATACCTAACAATTTATTTTATGTTCAAGTATGCTAATGCTTAATTTGAGGGGATAAATGGTAATGGCCTATTTAGCAATAAAACCAAGTGAGGGCTTATCCGTTTGTTTAACTAAAGGGCTTACTCATGAGCCTATCTGTGCAATGTACTATAATGGTATAATGGCAATTGCTAAGTCACCATTTCCTCTCTCATGCAGGTGGATAGCCAGTCATGGGGGACAGATTGAGCCTTAGCTCCTCTCTTTTAGTGTGCCAGCCAGGCCAACTGAGTTGGTTTGTAACAGAGTGGGCAGGGAAGCTGGACTGTGAAAAGAACTGGAGTACTTGTTTCTCCCATGGATTAAGAGGGTTAGCAGAGGTTAGGTTGAAGTTAGCCGCATTAAGTTAATTTTACAAACAATGAGCCTGCACTACCAAGCCCATTCCATCGACTTTAAGAATGGTTAAAGTCTATTTCTCTACTCCTTGATGAGAGGAGTAATGCTAATTTTGACCTTGCATGGTCAACTTTGGGTTAGAGCAGACTCAGCATTGTGAAAGTCAATATTCTTGGACACCAAGAGGTGTCCTACAGTGTGTCAATGTAACCGCTCTGGCTAGTACTTCCATCTCTGCTGCTCTCCCAGGTACACAGGAAAAGCCCTGGGAAATTTTAATTCCATTTCCTCTGGCAAGCATGGCAAGCCCAGCAGCACACTTAACCATGACTGCCCAGAGTTGCAAACGAGCTCCAACATGGAGTATGCAGGAGATACTGAATCTGATTGCTGTGTGGGGAGAGGAATCTGCAGGCAGAACATTGAAGGAGGAGAAGAAACGCTGGTATCTATGCCAAAATCGCACAAGGCATGGTGGAAAAAGGATACAGCAGGGATACCCAGCAGTGCCAATTGAAAACAAAGGAGCTCAGTCAAGCATACCAAAAGACAGAGGAGACAAATAGGCAGTCTGGTTCAGAGCCACAAACATGCCACTTCTAAGAGCAGCTGCATGGGTTTGTAGGAGGAATCCAACCAGTGTCCTAAAGCTGTCTGTGGATACCTCCCAAGCGACTCTGCAGGCAGCCTTGGGCAATAACGAGGGGGAAAGCAATTCACAAAGTTCCGTGAAAATTTTTCAGCCTATGCATAATTATGCAGTCCCACCAGTCTGTGCTTCCACTATCAACAGGATCAACTGTTGTCAGCATATGCCAGTAGCTCCACTCAGTTGGTTCCTTCATGTCTGTTTTCTTGGCCTCCTCACATTCTTCCTCACTCCAGTGGCTCCTGACTAGGCTCTGGACAAACCACAGGAAAATGTGCAAATGTGTGCAATGCTTGTCACAACAGTTTTTAGCCGAGTGAGGTACATGCTTTCCATGCTATGGCATCTGCACATATAACCAGGAAGAAAGGAGTGCGAAAAATTGTTTGCCATTGCTTTCAAGGCGGGTAGGGAAGATAGGGAGAAGATGAGTGCATTATGTGAGGCTGATGAAATATACCCAGAACCACCCCCTGCAATGTTTTTATCCCATCAGTCACTGGAAGCCTAACCCAGAATGAATCACAGAATCGTAGAATACTAGGACTGGAAGGGACTTCGGGAGGTCATCGAGTCCAGTTCTCTGCCCTCATGGCAGGACCAAATACTGTCTAGACCATCCCTGATAGACATTTATCTAACCTACTCTTAAATATCTCCAGAGATGGGGATTCTACAACCTCGCTGGGCAATTTATTCCAGTGTTTGACCACCCTTACAGTTAGGAACTTTTTCCTAATGTTCAACCTAAACCTCCCTTGCTGCAGTTTAAGCCCATTGCTTCTTGTTCTATCCTCAGAGGCCAAGATGAACAAGTTTTCTCCCTCCTCCTTATGACACCCTTTTAGATACCTGACAACTGCTATCATGACCCCCCCCCCAGTCTTCTCTTTTCTAAAGTAAACAAACCCAATTCTTTCAGCCTTCCTTCATAGGTCATGTTCTCTAGATCTTTAATCATTCTTGTTGCTCTAGGGTTAAACCCACAGTTGCATCAGTGTTAAAGTCAAAGATAATCACGCTCTTGGGGATGCATGGTGTCAACCTCATGCACCCAGTGAGGACATGCACCTTCATACGTTGTAAAATCAGATGCTAAAAAGTCAACCGTACAAAATTTGACCTAATTTTGCAGTATAGACATGCCATGAGTCACATTTCAAGGCCTGCTGTGCTCCTGGTGCACGTGCAGTTAGGAAGTGCCACATATGAATCGCAATGAATCACAAGGGTGCCAATCTATCCCTCTCTCATAAAAATGTTATTCTGCATCTACTGAGCCAGGAGGGACAAGGTATAATATTACATCAGTGACAGTGATCTCTAAAGTCCCTTTTTGTATCCTATTAGTAGTATTGCTTGATTCACAAGACTCCATTATGGAAATCCAGAAGGTGACTGAACAGCAAGATTCAGCAGTGACTGAACATCAGACACCTGAAGTCACTAAGGATGAAATGAATGGAACTGGTAAGGCTACTTTGTCTTTGTTTGCTTGCTTGTTTTAATTTTGGACTGTGTTTTAGCTGGAGTCTTGATGACTCCAGAGGATTAAATAGGGGAAATAAGAAAATTCCTTACTGTGTTGCCAATACAAATCAAGTCCTGGTTGGTAATGACCAAAATCTTGACGACGGAAAACATTTTTCTAGAATGTCCTTTTACTAGACATCTGATATTTGTGTTAAATATTTTCTTTTATTCTTTCTTGATCACTGGAAGCTGCTTCCACATAGACCCCAATGCTCTTTCAATTGAATTGTGATTAGAAGTAAGAAATAGACATTCACAGTGGCTAAAATTTTAGTTGTACTCAAAACTGTCATGGGGAGAGAGATGTCAAAGCAGTGAGAAAATACATAACTCAATAAACACTTACAATACAGGCAGTCCCCGAGTTACGCGGATCCGACTTATGTCGGATCCGCAGTTACGAACGGGGCCGTTCCTCTCCCTGGTCTCCAGCAGACCAGGGAGAGGAAGCAAAGCGGCGGAACACGTGGGCAGCGGACAGGGTTGTCCGCTGCCCACGCGCTCCAAGGCTTGGCTCTGCTTTGCCCCCCCTCCCCCC